TCTCTGCCTCATGAGTTATCAAGAAACAGTAGGAGATGAATAGGTGGTATGAAAACAACTGAAGGGCAAGCAGAAGTATAGCATAAGTAAAGGGCAAAGTAAAGGGATTAGAAGAGGGAGACTCACGAAGAAGAAACAAATCAAGAATCACTTGCTAAATTATTATGGAGTAGTTGAGAGTGACAAAAAAGCCTACCTTCTAACCAAAGCTAAATCACCACTGGTGAGAAATTCAATACTCATCCCATAAGGACTGCTGGGATAGAAGCAAATGCTACATTTCTAAGACCTGGCTTGTGACACGTGAGGAAGCCTTTCAAATAAAAATAGTATAAGTAGTACAGCTTATTAGTGTCTGCACGTTTCAAGTGCTTGACAAGTCCTATACAGATAAAAATCTCACCAAAGGTTGAAAAGTGGGAAATTTCCAAACATGCTAGGTCCTATCAGACATCAAAAGTGTATTAATGAGAAAATACAGAAATATATTCATGGGAACAGTATAGCTTACCTCTAAACAAACTTAATTAAACAAAGCATTAGAATTTTGACCAAAAAAACACTTTTTTTTTTTCATTAAGAGGGAAAAGTCCACTACAATCACCTGAAATTCACACATTGTTTTATGATTTAAAAGAAGTATTTTTTCTAATAAAAACAACAGTATTTTAAATTTAAGTTCATTAATGTTTTCAAATAGTATTGTCCTAGAACCTATGCTCTTAATTTCTGCTGAAAAACAGAGATTCACTTAAACATACAATGTTAGCAAAGCTCTCTGGGTTAATTTTAAAGCTTCCTACCTAAATCTTATGTCCTATAGTTAAAAAAACCCACATAATCCTAGGTGTGAAATCTTTTGACTATAAGCTAACAGCTTTGTAAAGTTTAGCAGGTAAATATTCTAAAACCAATGTCTTGCTTTGTCAGATTCTTGATCCATTCTACATCAATTGCCTGAGTCCAAAGTTTGAGGCAAATACAAGCATCGGTCAGTGTGAACCAGGCAAGGAAGAAGACTACTTGTTGCTCTATTTTTAAACTACGCTTTTTCATAGCAAAGAGCACTTATGTATGAAACATATAACAAAAAGGAGTCCTGAGAAAGTCTCCCCCGGTCATCATAAAAATGTATACAAGAGAGAATTTGATTAGCATACAAGTAGGTTGGTATTTTTTCATAGTGAGAGGATATTTTCCATGCGATGTGGAGCTTGTAGATAAAACTGCTCATTTTGTAAGACGGTATTTGTAAATATTGACTGTGTTAAGTCTTGTTAATGCTAGTTGTTTTAAGAGGCATATTACCCTGCTGATAAAGAGCAATTAAACTCCTTTACACAGCATGTGAGCTGTAACAGTAAAAACTCCCAAGCAAGAACACTGCTCATAACAAAGGCACATACAATGAAAGAGAGGAGTGGATGCTGGGGAAAGTAAATTAAATGGATACACTCAGTGTAAATGTTCTTGCCTGATAGAGGAGCAACTAAAGGAAAGGATGCTGTCAAAACAAGAACTGAAGAAAGATCTTAAAAACTGCCGTTGTCTTTTCAGCACACAAACAGAAAACCTGCTTCCTTCTGTTTGATTCTTCCTATACTCAGTGAATTGGGACTTTCTATTCCTTTTTGTGACAAAAGACGTATGCAAGATGCATACGCCTCCAACATTCATTTCTCTTACTAACAGAAACAATCATCTAGGTCCCAAATGTGGCTCATTTCTAAAAAAAAATTCATATGCATGGCTTAATATCTATACCTTTTGAAAAGAACAGAAAAAAAATCCTGCAGATCAAAAGGACTGGCTAGTAAGGGAAATGAAGGGACTATGGTGTGAAATTGTATTACCTGTATATGCATTTATTTGTCTGCTGGTGCCTTAAAATTATTTTAAGCAATACCTCTTGGCAGTGTGTGAAAATACAGTACTCTGGACAATATAATTCTGCACTTGAACAAGCAAGGCAGGGTCAAGCTATTCCACACCAAATAAGAAAATTGTAAAATAGCCTATGAAACAAGTCAATGAACTAACAAGCACAGAAAAACAGAAAACAGTGATCCAGCTGGTGATGGGAGGGTGAACAAACTGTATTATCTACTTTAGTGATGATGATTTGAAGACAGAAAGATGTCTTTATATGAAGTGCTGAGAAGAAGCTGACAAATATGGGTAGCATGGAGATAGAAAAGTCCTTTCATTTAAATGTCTATACGGAATCCTTTTTGTTATGTTCTGAAACTAAGCAGTAGAAGATTTCTAAGGTAGAGTAAATTTTCCTCCTTTCCTGATAGCAATGACAGGCCATAATCACAACTGGCTAAAATCCCATGGAAAGTTACTTTACCTAGTATGTCCTTCTCTCAAAATAATTATAAGAAACAATTTTGTTTACTGAACAGAAAGGAAATTAAAGGAAAATTAAACCAGGAACTTTCAGCAAAAAAACAAGCCATAGAAAGGACTGAAGCAGCAGTAGAGATTTAATTTGCCCCCACCCCATTTGGTTGCAATGCAAATGTAGAGGGATAGATATTTTTAACACTGCTATAACGACTCCACAAGAAAGATTCCACACAAACACAAAAAAGGTTGCAAGAAAGCCAGGCAGTCAATCAGTGAAACTCTCAGGTATGGACAACTGCCCTGTGGATAGAATGCTAACAACTAATAATTAAAAAAAAAAAAATTTCTACCAACAATCACTGCGTATTAAGGTTTTCATTACTGTCTGAAGTGTTTTCAGCTATGCTCACTACTGAATGAACTTAAAGTTACAATATTCAATCTTTAAGTAGATCCAGGCTTCTTCATACTCTTTTTTTATAATAAGTAGAAATAAGAAATCTGGGAAAAAAATGCTCACAAATTCTTCTAACGATGAGATTAAGCAGCTATATCTTTTACGAAAATGAATAAATATCCAAAGTTGTAATGACAATTGCACAAATTCTAAGTCTTCTAAAATTAAGTGCATGTAAAAACATAACTCAAGATCCTTGAAAACTTACTAACGTGTTTTCTCCAGTGGAACTGTTCCAGAGTCGCATCCGATCATCTGTACCAATGGTCAATAGATGAAGTCCATCATTCGTATAGCATAAACCATTAACTCTCCCATTATGAGCAGTGTTTGCTGTCAGAAAAGACAGCTGGTTCAGATTTCTACAGAAGAATTACTGCTTTTGTATACACATTTTTATTTCAATGTATAGTACTGAAAGTGCTGTTTAAATGCTAACATATCAGTAAATTAATAATTTAACACTTAGTTTTTAAAAGCATCGGGCTGATGACCAGCAGTGCTCCTCAGGGGTCAATTCCAGGGCCAGTGCTGTTCAATATATTTATCTACGATCTGGATGCAGGAGTTGAGTGCACCACTA